CCATGTACCGGTTAATGCCTCGCAGGTCCAAGATGGGCCTGAGCCCCCTTTTGGCCTTCAGGATAAAGAAATAACGGGAGTGGTACCCCTTGCCTTTGAACTCCCTCGGAATAGACACGAGCAGCACATCTCGAAGAACACCAGTTATGGAAAAGGTAACTGTCTTTTCTTCTTCGAGTGATTGCTCATGTGTATTCCACAATAGGTGATTCCAAGCTATATCTGTTGGAGGTGGGAAGGAGTTCACAAACTCTCGGGACGGAGAACGGCCCTGCCGAACCTGGCGTCCTCCCTGGTCTGAGAGACAATCACATAATGCGAGGTGAACGTGTGAACTGAAGACCACATGGCAACCCTACAAACGTCCTGAATGGGGACAAGGGCCAAAAAAGCAGCCGACGAGGCCTGCGCCCTAGTCGACTGCGCCTTCACAATTGGTGGCAGAGGGATTCCCACCAGGTCATAACAGGTACAGATGCATGAGGTGATCCAGTTGGAGAGCCGCTGAGTGGAGATCGGCTGACCTTTCATGCACTCAGCCAAGGCGATGAACAGTTGCGAGGATTTTCTGAACGGCTTAGTCCGCTCCAAGTAAAAAGCCAGAGCCCGTCGCACATCCAGTGTGTGGAGGCGGCGCTCCTCACTGGATGCATGAGGCTTGGGGCAGAGGACCGGCAGAAAAATGTCCCGACCCATGTGATAGGCAGAGACCACCTTCGGGAGGAACGAAGAGTGGGGGCAGAGCTGGACCTTATCTTTATGAAAGACCGTGTACGGGGACTCGGAGGTCAGGGCCCTGAGTTCCGAGACCTGCCTAGCCGACGTGATAGCAACCAGGAAGGACACCTTCCATGAGAGGCGTGACCTGGAGCACATGGCTAGCGGCTCAAACAGGGGCCCCATGAGACGGGCCAACACCAGGTTTAGGTCCCACTGTGGGCCTAACATATGGGAAGAGACGATTCAACCCCTTAAGGAATCGGCCAGTCATAGCATGGGAGAGCCATATCATGTGGCCCTGCATCAGCGGATGAAAGGCCGATATGGCTGCCAGGTGCACCTTGACTGACGAGGGCACCAGGCCCTGGGCTCTAAGGTGAAGGGGGTAGTCCAGAATAAGTTGGATTGGGGTGGCCACCGGGGTAACTCCCTGCTCGTCCGCCCACCTGGAAAACCGAGACCACTTTGCCAAGTAGGCTCGGCGCGTGGAGGGCCGCCTGCTTTCTAGGAGGATGCGCTGAACCCTTTCCAAGCACGTCCTTTCCTCCCTACCTAACCATTGAGCAGCCATGCCGTGAGGTGGAGTGCTGCTAGGTTTGGGTGGAGGCGGCGGCCTGGGTCCTGGGAGAGCAGGTCCAGGCAGGATGGCAACAGCCACGACGGGGTGACTGCCAGGCCCGTGAGGGTCCCGTAACAGTGCTGTCTGGGCCAGGCTGGGGCCATCAGAAGGACCTGGGCCTTGTCCATCTTTATCTTTTCCAGGACCTTGCCGATCAGTGGGAATGGGGGAAAGGCATAGAGAAACTGGCTTGACCAGGACAGGAGGAAGACATCAGAGATAGCGCTCCACCCCTGCCCCCCGAAGCAGAACCGGGGACAGCGACTGTTCTGCCGAGTCGCGAACAAGTCCACCTGGGGAGTTCCCCACACTTGGAAAAGTCTGTGCACCACCTCTGGGTGGAGAGACCACTCATGCTGAGAAGAGAAGTCCCTGCACAAGCAATCCGCCTGCACGTTCCGGGCGCCCGGCAGATGGAAGGTCTGTAGGCAGATGTCGTGGGCTATACAAAAGTCCCACAGCCTGAGGGCTTCATGGCAGAGGATCGGGCCCCGCCTTGTCTCCTGATGTAGAACATCAAGGCCGTGTTGTCCATGAGGACCCTGACCACCCGTCCCTCCAGGTGCGAGCGGAAGGCCATGCACGCCAGCCATACCGCCCTGAGCTCCTTGACATTTATGTGGAGAGTCAGATCCTGATCCGACCACAGACCTTGGATCTGAACATTCCTCACATGGGCCCCCCATCCCAGGTCTGATGCGTCAGACACCAATTCCAGCGATGGGGCCCTGCCCCTGAGCGGGACCCTCTTGGCGGGGGGACTACCACCATAGGGAGGTGGTCACTGGCTCGGGCACCGTGAGGACTCTGTCCATCCTGTCCCTGGCCTGGGAGAACTCCGAGGCCAATCAGAGCTGGAGGAGCCTCATCCTGAGTCTGGCATGACGGACCACATACGTGCACACCGACATGTGACCCAAGAGCTGGAGGCACGCTCTGGCTGTTGTCACCGGAAACCTTGTGACCGTGTCGATGAGCCCCTTCAGGGTCTCGAACCTCTCCAGTGGGAGGGATGCTCTGGCCGACGAGGCGTCCAGGACTGCCCAGATAAACTCTATGCATTGTACTAACGTGGACTTGGTGTTGTTTACCAACAGGCCCGAAGTGGTGCACATGGACAGAAGGAACGCCATGTGATCCCGCACCTGCGACTGGGAGCTGCCCTTGACCAACCAGTTGTCCAGATAGGGGAAGATCTGGACCTCCCCCGGCGCCTGAGGTAGGCCACCACCACTGACATACATTTCATGAATACCCTGGGGGCAGTGAACAGGCCAAACGGGAGGAGTGTAAATTGGCAGTGTTCCTGCCTCACCGTGAAACAGAGGAAGTGTCTGTGCCCCTCGAATATACAAATGTGGAAGTATGCGTCCTGCAGATTGAGGATGGCGTACCAGTCCACGAGATCGAGGGTGGCGTACCAGTCCCCGGGATCCAGGGAGGGGATGATGGAAGCCAGGGAGACCATGCGGAACTTGAGCTTCACCATGTACCGGTTAATGCCTCGCAGGTCCAAGATGGGCCTGAGCCCCCTTTTGGCCTTCAGGATAAAGAAATAACGGGAGTGGTACCCCTTGCCTTTGAACTCCCTCGGTACAACTTCCACCGCTCCTAGGCCCAGGAGACGCCACACCTCCTGCTTGAGCACAGCCTCATGTGAGGGGTCCCCCAGGAGGGATGGGGGCGGGGGATAGTTGGGCGGGGAGGAAATAAACTGGAGGGTGTAGCCCCGGGAGATGGTGTTGAGGACCCATCGGTCCGAGGTCAGCTGCGACCACTCCGGTAGGAAAGCACACAACCGAATGGAAAAGGGAAGCTATATTGAGGGTGGATCCCTGATGAGAACTGGCAGGGTGCCCCCGAGCATCCCGTCAAAACTGCCTTTTCCTCACTTGCTTGCCCTTGGAGGACCCAGGCCATTTTTCTTCCAAATGAGTCCAGCCTCCTCGAATTTTTATTTTTTTGGGTAGGGGCTGGTTGGCCCTGCCGTTCCCTGTAGTTGACCGACTCGACCACCAGGGAGTTAGGAGCAAGGTGGGTGTATAAGTATTCATGCCCCTTGGCGGGTACAAAATACTTGTGTTCTGCTCTCTTAGAGATGGGAGCCAATGAGGCTGGGGTTTGCCACGGGGCATTTGAAATTTTCGCCACCCCTTCATGGAGAGGCAAGGCCACCCTGCCCTGTGCCGAGGAGGACAGTATATTAAATAGGGAGTCCGAGGGCTCCTCCATCTCCTCTGCTTGGAGGTGGAGGCTTGATGCCACTCTTTTTAAGAGCTCTTGATGGGCCCGAAAGTCCTCCTGAGGGATGGAGGGAAGAGGAGCCATAATCGCCTCATCTGGGGAGGATGGAGGCGGCTGGCATGGTACTGTGTGTGTCCACTGGCACCGGAGGGTCCAACACCTGGTTGGTCTCCAGGCACAGTGCTGAGGATGTACGTCCTACCGACTTCTTCCTCGGAGATCTGGAGAGGGAGGTCGATGGTCCTTCTGAGGCTCCGGCCACCGAGCAAGCCTACCACTGGGCAGACTGTTCGGCCTGGATGGCCTGGCCCATCAATGGACGACTACGAAGAGAGGCCGGGCTGACATAGACCTGCCGCTGTCCCTGGATCAGGAGGAGCGGCGATGCTAGGAGCAATGCCAACCACAGGACCGCAATCCCACCGTGGAGGACTGGTACCGTCAGTAACAGCGGCTCCGCGATCGGCTCCGGTGAGCGGATCCGCGATGGCGAGACGCTGGCAATCAATGCCTGGGGCTGCGGAGGCGGTGCCGTGGCGGGGTCCTGGAGCGGGACGACCAACGGGAACGACATCAACGTTCGTGCCGTGACCGACTGCTACGGGCTTCCGAGATGAGGATCTTTGGCGTCATCTGCCTCGGTCCCATTGGTGTTCACTCTTCGAGGCGGAGCAGTGCCGAGAG